TTTCCATTTGGAATGATGAAAAAGTTCTGGAACTAGGTAGTGGTGCCAATTGCACAACATTGTGAATGTCCTAAATGCTACTGAATTGTACACTTTTAAAAAGTTGATTTCATGCTATGTCAATTTTACCTCGATTTAAAAAGAGAGGACCTAGGCCATGAGAAGAGTTTTTGGACTGACTTCTCATCCCGTGGTCCCTCCAAGTCTCAGCTGCTACAGCATCAGAGCTCACCAGCCTGACTCTGAATGTACGAAGTGGGATCGATATCTCTGCTGGCTAAAAGTTGGCACTCAGGAGCTAAAATGTGCTTATTCAGTAAGCATGTGACCCTTCTGCCCAGCTACAGAGGAATGTTCTGGACAGAAATTGTTTTAAATATGGCCAATGATAGCAGCATCTCTGGTGTGTCCTAGCAGGAAGGGGTCATAGACAGGATGCCCCTCTAGAATGTACTGAACTAATTGGGTGTCTCTGGAATCTTCTCCCACCTACAAAGCAGTTGGATTTCTCAAGGAGAGAAATTTTCTGCATGGCTTGTTGCCATTTTATTTAGCCTACTATTGGGGCACAAAGAGGGGTAAGGTCACCTCAAGCCTAAGCTTTAAAGCTCGTCCCTCAAGACTTCTCAGTCCTGGTACCTAATTTTGTTTTAACTTTATATTGTGTTTCGTAAAGAGGGCCCCAGATTATATAAGCTTCAGTCCCAAAACTAGAGACCCACACACCTCAGTATAGAAAAGAAGGCTCTGATTAACTAGCAACTGTTTTTCTTTTCTTTTTCTTTATTTTTTCCAGCTTGATTGAGGTATAATTGACAAATTAAAAATGTATAATATTTAAAGTGTACAATGCGGTGATTTGATATACGTATATAGTGAAATGATTACCACAATCAAGTTAGTCAATGCATCCATCCGTAACTTCCTAGTTACGTTTGTTTCTGAACTCATAGAACTTTTTTAAAATCATAGAAACAGCAGAAGGCTGGTTGCTGAAAGTTGCAGGGTGTGGGGTGTGAAATGGGGAGATGTCGGTTAAAAGGCACAAATTCTCAGTTACAGGATGCATAAATTTGGGCAAGCTAATGTACAGCACTGTGGCTATATTTAATAATACTGTATTGTATATTTGAAATTTACTATGAGAGTGGATCTTAAATAGTCTCATAGCAACTATTTTTTTTTTTTTTGCCCCATTTAAACTACTCTAGTTGGTGTCCTGGCAATGGGGAGGACTGTCACCTTGGTTCCTGACCTTGCCACTGCAATCCAAATGGGGTCAGTTTTTTTATCATGCCAGGAAAGGAGGTAGAGGCTGCATGGGTCCAGCAAGGGTATCTCCTGACTGCCCCTTCCAGACAGTCTGTCACTGTGTGTTCCCCAGGAGGCCCTGGACCAAAGGCCTTTTCATCTCAGTACCCCAATTTCTAACCTCATAAAGTTATGTTGAAGATGAAAGGAATTCATGTAGTTAACAGGGCTGACGCAGGGGCTTAGTAACTGGTTGCTCTTATTATTTCCTCTGCTTGTAGAGGAAGTTGGTGTAGTCTGTCTCTTTCTCTAGCTCTAGCTCTCCTTCAACCATTCCCTACCATCTGAATTCCACCTTTGCCTATTTCCTCCAAGCCCTGTTTCTGCTTGAGGGCAGGGCTCTGGAGGCTGACAAAGCCAAGTTCATTCCCTGGTTTCATCACTTTTTAGCCAGCCACATGCACTTAAGCAAGTGACGCTCCCTCTCTTCAATTGGGCACCCTGGTCTGTACAATGAGGGTGGGGGTGATCATATTAGTACTGACTTCCTTGAGTCACTGGGAGCATTAAAGTAAAGACTAAAATGCATTTAGCACTGTGCCTGTCACCTAGTAAGTATTCCAAAGTCATTCTTCAGGTTTACTTATAAATCAGGTGTCCCTTACTAAAACAAAAGGAAAAGGAGAAAGGGAAGACGGGAGAAAGATGAGAAGAAGGGAGGGAGGAAAGGAGGAAGGAAGGCAGGTAGGCAAGACTAATCTTTGCTTCTGTTCTCTAACCACTCACACTCAAGTTCCAGCCCCCACCAATTTGGAGATGATTCCCTGATAAATCTCTGAACTGCAGACATTTCTGGTCTTCATTTCTAAGATGGAGATGATAATGGTAATATCTGTCTCATAGAGTTATAAAGATAACTGTGTAAATGCATATAAAGTGCCTAGTACCAGAACAGTCATTTGTGCCTTGTCATTCCAATAGTTTTGGGCAGGGGATTGTGTGCCCTGAGTAGGATGCCTACAGGCAAGTTTGCCACTCATCTGATGGGGCCAATCCAACAAGCATGGAGCCCAGAAACAGGCTTCCATGTCCAGTCTCATGTCCTGCTCTTGGGAAGGCACTCCCACTCCCGACCACAAAACCACTGGGTTTATCTGGGCCACCCTGGTGAAGGTCACATTCCCCTGAACAAAGATCCTCACCATGATGGCACCTGTGTCATCCTGCACTGTGAAGCACTGAAAGAGCAAGGCAGAAAATGAAGTGACTGCTTCCAGAAATGGAATTACCTCAAGTCATATCAATTATCTTGGGAAGAGCCCCTTGGGGTTGTATAGTCCTTTAAGGTCTGAGAGACAATGGAGAGACAGGTCCCAAAGAGTGCTAGTGCAGAAGTAACATACTATGGAAGCCTGGAATGGGTCAAATCATGAGGGGAGCCATCTGGGGCATGGAGGCAGGACTGGCAGGGCCTGGCAGCAAGAAGAGACATTACTACTGCATTCACACAGTCCCAATCAGACGTCTTAGAGATTATCTGGAAGGAGAGCTGTGGCTACCCCACACAGTACGTGATTTCCACACAGCTCAAACTACCCTAATTAATAATGACCCAGAACTTGATTGTTTCTAGCTCTCAGATTAGCAATGGCTCCCTATTTCCCCAGCTTAGCTGTGCCAGGTGTCCTGTCCCTGAAATGCACCAGTAACTCCTCTAAAAACCCACTTGATTCTTCAGGACCCAGTCTACGGCCCTCCCCACCTATCCCATTTCTTATCCCATCAGCATTAGCAAGAAGCCCGCCACTGCCTCAGGGACCTCCCATCTGGAGGCTCAGCCAAGATGGTGGCACTTGTGAGAGTATACACAGGTAGCCAGAGGCCTGGTGGCAATGGGGAACGGCATAAGTGCCCCCTGTCCAATATGCCCGTATCAGCCAAATCTGGGGCCTTGTGGTGTGAAGATATGACCCACTAAATGGGCCTGGAGCCACCAGTGTGGTGCCCTCCATCTCTCTGGGTGGCCCTGGAGGTGAGTCTACAGTTGCAGCCTTCCTGGATGCTCCTTCTGTACATGAGCTCTAGGTGGAGGTGTAGAAAGCTGAGGACAGGGTCAGGCATAGCCCAGGGCCGCCTAGAGTGTTTTCCACTGGTCTTGTTACTCCCTAGGTGAAAGAAAGTCTGGCTTTTGTAGGAACTGCCTGGGTCCCTGGTGGTGTCTTTCCTTCCTCACCTCTGAATTATGCTGCCTCTTTAGAGCATTCTAGAAAAGGGGTGTTTTCTCGGTTCATTGGCTACATGGCATGGCTGCATCCTGGTAACACTTTCCAAGCATCAGATGGTTGGGGTCTGCAATGAGGAGCTCCACACAATTCATAGCCTTCAGCCAGGCCCCTCGCTGAAGTCCTACATGGGACAGAGGCGGCCAAAGCAATTTGAAGAGGGACTTGATGGAGGCCACACATGGAGTCTTTGTGTTGTGGCCCAGTACTTACTGTGGTTTCCCTGCTCCCATTGGCCTAGACCATCTGCCTTACCATCTACCCCTTCTCCCAAGAAAGGGAAGCTTCCTAGTCTTGGAGTTGGCACTAAGAGCCACCCTCAGTGGCTTAGACAAATTTCTTCTAACTATGAGGTAGTGCACTAGATGAACTACACTATAGGAAATGCCAGCTCTGTGGCCATCATTTTACAATGCAGCCATACCTAAGAGCCTAGGGCAGGCCAGACCCAATGGATGGGGCAGGGGTGGGCCACAGCTGGAGGACTGAACGTGGGATGCCAGTCTCAGTTACAAAGCACTCCCTGGTGGCGAGGCAGCACTCCTGTGGAGGTCTTTGTTATTGGAAAATAGGAACCCATCATCTCTAGAAGGTTGGAAGCACCATGGTGAGATGGGATGTGCGTCCAAGAATTAAACTGGTTTGGAGTTCTCTTTTAACTCAATCATCACCACCCCTTCACTTAATGCATGCTGGACTTTGACCATAGAAAACCAAACTTGAAATTGGGATGCCTACAGTGACTGGTGAGGCACCTAAGAGAGGGTTGGTTTGGGTCCCATGTGACTGACATATAGCAAAGCAAATATTGGCTTGGGACCCAAACCAACCCTGTCTTAGGCTTGTTAAGGCCCCATTAAGGATAGTTCCTTGGAGGTGGTTGGAGAGCTGGCAGCCTTTCTGGTGACTGGTGACTTGGTAGGACTTTCTAATAGAATATGTCAATAAGCACAGCTTATTGATCCAACAAGTGCAGACCTGCTACTCTCAGGATTCACATTGCTAGTCTCCTGTGGACAGCAGGACAGGGCTGGGAGAGGGAACGACTCAGGAACAGGAGTGGTCTGGCAGCCTGGCCCTTGGAAGAAGCCTAGCACTTTTTCCCCTGAAATCCATGTCTGTGAGTCACTGAAACAGTACAGCCCTTCTTGTTTGTCCACTGCAATGTTTCTTTGTAGCCACTTAGTCTTTATTAAAACAATCTTTTAAAGGGGGAAAGTTTTATTACTAGGTCATTTTCATGAGGAATTCGTTCCCGGAGGAAGGCCAGAGGTGCACCCCACCCTGTGCCCCACAGTCTGTGTTCAAGTAATTCCCTATTAAAATGTCATGGAGATATTTAGGGAGGCTCATAATTTGATTCAAGTAACAGTCTGATCTGTGCCTCTCACTGAGCTGGTGCAGGTGTAATACTTTCTTTAAGAGTGTGTGCAAGTGGCTCTCTCCTCAGCCTACTCTCACCCCCAGGGAAAGAAGCCCTCTTGGATGGATGAAGAAGGAAATTTATCTTTTCTCTACAAAAGCAGCCCAGGAAGAAAGCATCAGGTAAGCATAAGCTTACCAAAGCTGGGACCCATTTACTTTACAAGTGGGGAAACTGAGGCCCCAAGTGTGAAAGAGACCTACAAGAGGTCACAGCACTACGTCCTTTAGAGGCAGAGTCCAGGGAGAAGTGAGAAGGTTGGGCTTAAATGATCTCTGCCCAGTGGCCCTGAAGGCCTCCTACCTGGATTCTGCCTACACTTTTCCCTTTTCCTGTGTGATTTTCACCTTGTTAGCCAAATTCAAGCAAAATGCAAATTAAGTTTGTGAATGTGGGTCCAGCAGAAACGGGGTCATCTGGATTGGGACAGGGCCCTCCCCTTTGACCCTCAGCTTCTATTACAGGTCCCTCAGCAGCACATGCTTCCTCTATAGGTTAACCCAGCAAATCCATCCAGAGTTTCTCTTCCAACAGTAATCATCTCTATCCCGCCAATAATAGTACATGGGAATGTGTTTGGAGAAGACTTGGTGAGGGTTTCTTCCTGGGAAACAGACTACAGGCCTCATCAGGCTTACCATGAGTGGGTGGGAGCAGCCTGTCTTGAAGGGCTCAGCAGTTCTGACAGCCTAGGAGTTGGAGGCCAGCTCTCAACAAATGCTTGGTCAAGGGCAGAATACATTGATTCCTCTCACGAGATGGTACAATACAAATTCTGAGCTCATTAAATTCATATACATCTGTATGTTGAGGGTCATCCTTAGAGCTGTCAATTCTTCCAACTGGTATGTCTCCACTACAGAAAAGGAGGAAGTAGTCCTAGAACACTGCCCACCCAGGTCTGCTCATCTCTGCCTTTGTCAGGGCTGTTCCAGCCACTCCAGGCTGCTGCTTAGATAGCTCTGGTATAAGCCTGTTGAAGCCCCAGCCCTCAGGTCAGGGTAGCTGAAGGCTGGGAACTGTGGCAGGACCCAGAGTGGCAGGTGGTGGCAAGGAGCATGAGGCAGGAGTTTCCAGGCTCAGCCACCAAGACATCATCACTGGCTGTCAGGTCAGTGCTGTCAGGACTAGGTGACTTGCCTCTCCCTACTTCCACCCCATCCCCCAATCCTAGTGAATGCATCCTTATTTGTCAGAGAGCAAGAGAGGCCCAAAGCAAGGACACAGAGCCTTGAGAATTACATCAGTAGTGATTACTGCTCCCCAAGTGCTCTCCTCAGTGAGTACAATGGAACCTTTCACTGATGCTGTGAGGCACATGTGGTAGGCCAAGTACCCATTTTACAGAAGAAGAAATTGAGGCTCAGGGAGGGGAGCGGCTTGCCCACAGCCACACAACAAATGGAGGAGCTAGGACTTAACGAAAGTTCTTCTGAGGCACATTCCTGGCCCTTCCTCCAACCCAGCCTGCCTCTGTCTGCATCAAGTGCTGGCCCAGGGTGAATCAGGGCACAAATAAATCCCCGATGTGTAGGTCGAGGTTCTTGCTCCAAACCACCCATTATCAGAGATTTGCTCCTGAGACATAACTGACTCCTCTTGAAGCTAATCAGCATTAGCATTCAGGGTTTCCTGCCATTCCCAACCACCCTGGTATACTCCAGAGCCTCATGTCTTAACAATTCTGGAAATGCTCAAAATCCTGTTTGTTCCACAGAAAGGTCGGTTTCGGTTTGTTGGGACATTCTGCTGAAGATAAACATGTAAATTACACATCCCCAAATACAGGCATTGATACTATACACATGGATATTCCTCTGATCCCATGTGCAAATGCAGACATATTCATTCTCTCACTCTCTCTCCCTCGTTCTCACTATTTTTCTCCCCACCCCCATCTCTCTGTCTCCTCAAACCCATTCCTGATACAATATTTTCTTATCTATTCTATGCTACCTCCATCATGCCTCATGACATCTTCATTACTTTCTTCTTAGATAGCCTACTAGAGATCATCCTTGTCCTAAGAGGGCTCGAAATCTAATTTAGTTGGCCAACATCAGGTGCTTCAAAATTCATCAGGGAAAATGTAACAATATGGAATAAAGTTGTTCATGGAGTATGAGTGTAAGAGAAGAGACTGGGAGAACCAGCAAAATGGTGATGCAAAAAGAGTAGACTAAAAAAGCCACAGGTGGTTTTTACCTTTGTGTCAATTTTGTCCAAGACCTGCATGCCCAGCGGCCTCTGGAAGGAAAATGAGTCCCCCTGAGTTCATCTTTCCTGGCTACCTTTTTGACCTCCTATCCTCTTGCCCAATAGGAACAGTGCATACCCTTTGCTGGCCTTTTTCTTGGTGTCCATGTTAAAACTACAGCTACAGTGTCTAAAATTAAGCATTTATAACAGCCTGCCAGACTTCCTTGCAAAGAGTCTCAAGTTATATTCTTTATTCTCCTTATGCTCATTTTATGAACATGGACTGTATTCTTATGATCTCTACCTTCTCTAAGAAATTTTTCCCCTTTTTTGTCATTCTGGACTAGAAATACAGAAAAGGAAGAGTTGCCATATGTCATTGTTCAGACAGAACCAGAAATAATGTTGACTTCAGAGCTGAACTTGTCTCTATCAGAAGGGAAACCTTTGTTTCTCACTATTTAGGGGGTGGGGAGGCCATCACATGCCCTGAAATGCATTTTAATGAATGCTTATAAGGTCATGGGGATCACATTGGTGGCTTTGTCTGCCAGATTCTGAAATGGGACTCTGCAGGCATTTATGTACGGAGAGAAAGAAATTCATTTCTAAAAGATGCCAGGGCACTGTCACTCACTCCTTCCCCTTTCCTCGCCACCAAAGGCAGGGCCTCTGGGAGTTGGGACATCTGGGGTCCAATGTCCTTATCCCTTTGCTAATTTTCTAAAACCAAATCATATCCCATTCTGTTTTGTGTAAGTAGAGAAGTTCGAGATGTGCTCTTTAGAAATCCTGCCAGTTTCTATTGATTGTCACAGTGAGAGGGCTGAAGGAAGCAGTAGCTGTGAGACAGCTAGTACTAATACCACAGAGACTGAAGAAAAGCACATGGGTGAAGCAGGAAGATTCATTTGGAAAGGACTGGGAGCTTGGTTGGGGGCCTGCCACCCACCCCCGCCCCAGGATGCTGGGAGGGGAGGTCATTCCGGAGCAGTGAGCTATCTCCTGCCCTTGATCTAAAATGGTGGCTGTGGGATTTAGTCAGAAACACCCAGTCTGGGCAGGCAAAACCTCAGTGGCATCAGCCACAGGCATAAGTGACCCAGTGAAGGCATGAGTGTGGCACTGGGCACAGGGGAAAGCCCAGCCAACTTCTCGCAGTAACTGCGAAAGAGGAGACACGAAAGCAAGCGTTTATCTAGGGGGCAAAATTAACTGGATAATAGATTTCCATGCCTCACTGATGTCTGGTAAAAGCAGCTGCTATTACAGTGAGGCTGAGCACTTCCATGTAAACACAGCCACCTCTCCTTGGCCTTGTTTAGGGTTGGCTGGTGTTCTTGCTGCTCAGCCAGGGCACTTCAGGGTCACTGTTGAAAGCTCGTTCCGTGAAATCCAAAACATGGAGCTTCATGGCCTCTGACAAAGTAGAGTCTCATTGAAGTCTATTGAAAAATGAAAGCTCAGAAGAGGCTTGCAGCCTGCCATTCTACCAAAACAGCAGCCTCAGTCAGCATCCCCAGTCCCACCCCTGAGAACAGCCAGGTAAGCCTGCCCGCTTTATTGGGCATCCTCCTGAAACATTCAATGAGTGTCCAGCAACAGGCTTGGCATAGCAAAGGTAACATCCGCTCCAGCAATGGGGGCTTCCTGGGATCTGCTTTGTTACTGAGGGGTCAGTTGCTTACTAGAATTGGAATTGATCACGGACCATTTGCTTGGGATGTAGTTGATGGGTGCTGGAAAAGGTGTGTGTACACAGGCTCTCATGTAGGGGAGGTGCAGCCTCCTTTCCTTTGCCAGTGGCCCCTGCTGGTACCTTTAGTGTCTGGTGGTCATGCCCTGCCTCCTCCATCTCTGCACCTTACTTCCAGCAGGTTAATGGCAGACGAACAATTAAGTGAGAGCTCTGGGAGCCCACAGAAGCTGCCAGCAAATTACAGAGGCTCACCTGGCAGGGATGCCAAGCCATTGCCCCTCACAGCCCCTGCCCTCCCCTCCTTTCCCCATCGCCTACTCATCCTTGGCCTGCCTGGTTCTGCATTGTTTTGCCATTGCTACAACTGTCTTGCAGTTCAAGACATCATGAACTGCACATTGGGCCTGACTGTTGCCAGTTCAGACTCCCTGCAGGGGGTCCTTATGTCAAACCCACAAGCAATCATCCCTGATTGATCTATTTCATACATTTCTATTTTTAACCTATTGGATCGTTTTGGATTCTTTGGGAGAATGTAGAAGAGACACAATTTCAGTTTGGGACCCGTGGCTTGTTTGTAGGTTGCTCCGCAATGGATTGAGTAAATGGCTGAACTTCCTGTGTTGGGCCGTTTACATTTCCTTGTCCATTGATTCATTCACCTGCCATTTACTGAGCACCTGCTGTGGGCCAAACAGTTAGTAAGCTGCTCCATGGGCCAGCTCAGGGGCACTATGGGTGCTGTGCCTACTCAGTCTCCTGGGAAAGTGGGCACAGATGACTGCATGGGTCTCAGACCTCTTATTGTGCCTGCTATACCCCTCTCCAACCCATTCCTGCCTGACCGATGGTATTCGGGCCTCAGATGAGTTTGGTGACAGGGCTGTCCCTTAAAGTGCCCTTGTTCAGGTTGTAGGCATCTCAAAAGAAAAGTAAGTGTGCAAGTGTTCTCACTCAAGTTGATAAGCCCCTTCTGCAAGAGCGATGCAGTGTCCTGCCATCAGCATGGCAAAGGCAGTGGGTCTGGAGGCAGCTGAGTGGTGGTGGAGGGCCCTGCATCTGACCTGGGCCTTGTTGCCCTGTGGCTGAGCAACTCTGGGCAAGTCCTGCCCCTCTGTCTTTAAGAAGGGGATTGGACCCCCAGGACACTTCCAGACCTGCCCTATAATGCCAGGTACCAGTTAGTGAGGAGCGACTAGGTGTCATACAATGTGCCCCATTGCACTTAATAGTCACAGCAGCTTCATAAGAAAAAAAACTACAATTACACTCATTTTACACATAAAGAAATGGGCCCTGAGAGGTTCGGTGTCAAGGCCAAGATCAGAGCCCTATGACATGCTGCCTCTACCCTTGCTTTGGGCCAGTGGTTTTCTGCCTGGCTGCCTGTTGAGAATCAGCTGTGGAGCTGTTGGAAAAATTCCTGATGCCTGGACCACACCCTGGATGAGACAGAAGCAGTCAGTTTGTGGTGCAAGGGCCCAGGAATATGGATGTTTCTAAGTGATTCTGATGTGCAGCAAGGCCTGAAACATACAGCCCTGGGGATCTACTTTGATGTTCACTTGGCCATGACAGTCATGCCCCCTATTGTGCTGGCAAGTGGCCCCATGACTCCCTTGAGCTCCTAGTGGGCTGCAAGCTCATCAAATCAGAAGAGCCAAATGTGAGGTGACATCAGAGGATGAGCACTGTATGTCCCAGTGAAACTTCCAAAGCTGAAAAGGGGTTTCTTGTGGAAAAAAAAAAAAAGAAAAATGCTTTGAAAGAATTCTATCTGTTCACCTGTCGGCATTCAGGTGATTTCCAGATCCCTCTCTTCCTTGCCTTATTTTGATCATTCCTGCACATACTTCTTTGCCCCCACTTCCTTTCCCATTTACCTGCTAACATACAGATCATGGTCATTAACATAACAGTGATGGATGACCGTATGAAGCCATGAAAACCAGGAAGCCTCACATTGCTGGTGACTTTGCTTTGTTTCCAAAGACTGTGCTTCTATAAATGGTGGGCAGCTCCCCCAAGGTTCAGATCCCAGATTAGAGCTTTTTCCCATTGTTTGATATCTCCTCAACCTGAGGATGCATCTTCAGAGAGGAATTTCTTATTTAGATAGTTTTATACTTTTTTAAATTTTTGAATGACAAGTCCTTCTCATTAAAGACAAACAAGCAGAAATGAAGAGAATAGAAAGGGAATTGCCAGTCATCCCAAAGAAACGACCACTCCAAATTGATGGATATAGGTTCTTCCAAATTATTTTTTAGGTACACATAGCAGAGTGTGTGTGTGTGTGTGTGTGTGTGTGTGTGTGTGTGTGTGAAAATAAATGGAACAATGAATACAATGCCTACAGTGACTGTTATGAAATTTATGCTTTTCCCCAAACAATGTTTTAAACAGCTTCCCAAGAAAACACATCCAGATCCACTTTTTTCCTATTAGGTCTCTGTTGCATTCTGTTTTATCACTGCAGCCTAGTGTGTTTAACCAAGACAAAAAGGCTCAAGTCTATACCATGGTATTCCTTTGTTAAAATCTATGTGTCTGTAGACAGGTAAGAATGAAAAGTATTTAGCTATTTCTAGTTTTCTCTCCAATGCCTGCCTTTGGCAGCATGGTTCATTTAGTGATTTCTGCATACTTTCGTTGAACTCTCCTTGAAGTGGGCAGATCACCCTTTGCATACCGTTCTATTCCATTTTAGTACACAAATGTAATAAGACAGTTTAAGTGAAACATAGTAATGAAGAAATAAGCACTATGGTTCCAAAAACAGGCTGTATTTCATAGTTTTCACCACTGTAAGTCTTTAAACTGAAAGATCTGTTTTATCATGCTGATTTCCTGTTCATTAGCTTTAATGTACCAAGTCTTTATAAAAAATTCCTCTCTCTCTCTCTCTGTCTCTCACTCTGTGTGTGTGTGTGTGTGTGTGTGTGTATGTGTGTGTGTGCTGTGTTTCTCACCTCTCTTCCCTTCTCTGCTCTTCTTTCTCCTCGCCTCCTCTCTCCTCTCCTCC